GACCAGAGTAAAGGCAATACTAAGTCAATTATGGTCATGACCACACCTTGACCAGCACTTAGTTATACATACCTTTTACCTTCTATTTAAAACTTAATCATATGTCAAAATGCCAACTATGGACTGGTAGGCATGTCCCTGTATTTCTTTGCTTCTTTTCCCAATTTTGTCACACTGACTAATCTCCTTTGTCTGTTCTTCACTATTATTTAGGTTCTTTTAATAAGTTTATTGAGGACAGGTGGCTGAACCCAGTTTGTTAGGATTTCCAGGGGCACAGCTCTCATCCTAAGTATGGCAACAATACTAAGATTTTGGAATCTTTGGTAGGTGATTAGATTAGATAAAAACATTCAAGTGAAAACTTCTGGTTTGAATCCAAGTTGATTCATAAGATAAGTAAAAGAAATCAGAGAATACACAGCAAATTGAATCTTCCGTGTTCCTTGTTATTTGTTTCCCTGTATCACCTTAGGACTCTGCTAAATAGAATGCCATCACAGGGTATATCCCCTCAAAGTTGTACCTTCAGAAAAATGTTACAAAAATCTTTTCCTTATATATTAACTTGCTTCACATACTGCATTATAGTACCAAAAATGAACTAATACATCAAGTCATATCTTCATTGTTATCATTAAAGCAGCTGCCTGTCCACTTGTTTTATTTCCAGAATCTCTATGAAGTTGTAATGGTAATTCTGCAAATTCTAAATTAACTGCTACTGCAAATGGGAAAATGCTTTCTATTAAAATGTAGCTAATTTGGATGATAAAAAGGATATGAATATATTAAATACTTATTACTTCATAAGTGCTAAAAGGATAATCCAGGTCAGAAAGGGGGTAAAAGAAATTAATAGGACACAATTCCATTGGCTTTCTCACTGAGGAATAATTTAAAATGTAAATGCTTTGAATGTAGAAACTTGAGTGAGTGATTAGAACCAATATTTTTTGTTTCTATTTTTTAATCTATCAATATATTTCAAGAAGGAAACAAAATGTGCAGGCAATTTCTAGATGTATATATAATGGAAGTACTTTAACTTTTTTTCAAATAAACAATTGTTACATAAGATGTTTACTCATAATTTCTGATGATTTTACCACTCTGTAAATATTTTGGGGCAAGTTGATTTGAACTCTAAAAAGGAAGACAAAAAAGTTTAGTGGATTCTTGTTTGTCACTGAGGCTGGGAAATAATCTGACTCTGCTTTCTTGGTTCTGCTTTTCTAAAAGAAAGCTACTGGCTTATTTTGTCTTGGCTTTTTATTATTGATTTCATATGACCTTATAGCCTAGACCTAAATCTATACTCTAATAGACTTGCTATCTCAGACCTAATAGTAAGCTGTGTCAAACAGCAGTCACTCTATTCGATAAAAAGTATGTCAGAATTTGCACACTTCTACATGTACCCACAAACTCAGAAAACCTCATGATGAGTACTTCACTGTTTCTGGCTCATGAACAAATTTTTACAGGAAAGGGTTTGATTTTTAATTAGTTTGAAAACAAGAAGCTAATATCCTTTATATTTGTAACACAGAGACTGGTTGCATCCTAACTTGCTATTCTTCCCCATCCTGTACATTGAGGGAGAGCATACCACTAGGAGTGTAATCACTCCTGACATATTGGACTTTGGATCATCTCTGGGGCATGGCTCACTGCTGTTGTCTTGTACTCAATTTCAATATTAGCGTGGTTCATAAAAATGCACTAAGAGCCTGATTTACCTTATTTATCTACCACCCTGACATTTTAATACAGAAATCTGATTGCTAAATGCAGCTATCCCAGAAAAGAATTGATTTTTTATAGGCTGACCATAAGATCATAGTATGAATAGTGAAATATCATGTAAAGCTATTTTTAAAGGAGGAGTCCCAGTGAGGCCTCAAATCAGACCAATGACTCTGCAATGAACACTTGCAAGTGAAGATATAGTGATGAAAGTGTTTACTGCATGACTCACTGTGTCACATTATAGTTTCCATGGTGAGATTAATTTTTTCCTTTTTCACTTAAATTTTATTTTATTTTGGGGGGTAGTTTGCAAGGGCAGATGGCAAATATGAAGGGACAGAGAAATGAGTAGGTGATATGAAGCCACAAACAATAAATAAAAAGGAAGTTAAAAATAAATAAATGATTTTGGGCGGAATTATATTTACATAATTTCCTTCATTCCTCTAAATCCTCCCATGTATTCCTCCTTTCTCTCTTTCAAATTCTTGGCCTCTTTATTCTTAAACTGTTGTTATATACATGTTTGTTTGTACGTGTATTTGTACGTGTATTTGTACGTGTGTGTGTGTGTGTGTGTGTGTGTGTGTGTGTGTGTGTGTCATAAATACAACTTGCTCAGTCTATATAATGTTATTTGGAAACAATATAACTTTGGAAACAATATAACTGGGGGACAGTAATTAAGCAACAAATAATGAATTTTGATGCAATTTCACTTCTAGAAATATTACCAGCAAGAAATGAAACACATAGCATCATAGAATCTTTTGAAAACATTTAGAGAGACCTTATTCATTGTATCTGAGCTTGAATGAATATAATCAATTTATAGGTCTGTATATAAAATGTGATAATGCCTAATATGGAATATTGTTCAATCATAAAAAGTATGATATACACTATCATAGAGTAAGCTTGAAGTAATTATACTTATTAAATGAATGTAGTGATAAAGTGGCATTCATCATATGATTCAATTAATATAAAATAAGTAAAATAGGGAAACTGACAGAAAGTTGTTTAGTTGTTTCTGAGGGAAGATGCATAGGTAATATTTGTAGTGTTGTCATGGTACTGATAAAAATATTCTAATAGAATTGATAGTTGCATATGTCTGTGAATATATTAAAAATCACTGAGTTTCATACTTTATTGGGTGAATTACATCCTAAACCATTAAAAATATATTGAATAAGAAATAGAGTAATAAAAAAGCTATGTAAAGATGAACAATACACAGAGAGTCTGGATACTACATGCTATATTCATTTCTTTAAATTGTTTGCTGAAGAAAGAACTACAGCTGCTAAAATACATTTGATTATAACTGCTGCTAAATTAATCCAACTTATATATGTTAAAAAGGCTTTGACTTCAGAATTTAAATATAAGGACAGGTTACTTGGGAAAAGAGTTTTTGCTTGTATTTACACAGAAAATGTAAAGCTATGGATTCCTTCCAGACTAATATGGTTTGATGAAGTAAGACCCCCTGAAACAGTGTCTCAGGAAGTCCAACATCTATAACAGCTGAGAGGATGAAGCCTTACAGACTACAGAAACAAGGACCTGGCTAGGTTTCTTTGTTTTGTCATGATCCCCATGTTATGGACAGCACCCCTAACTAGCAGGAAGCAGTTTGGAAAGAACAATGTCTAAATTCCCAAATATTGTTTATAAATTTTTGTTTTCATTTAAATGGAGTTGATTATAAATGGTTAATGATCACAACCAATGTCTTTTTTAAAGGAAAGAAGGGGAAATGATATAGAAATGTATACTTTGTATTGGAATGGATTTTTATTTGTTGATACAAATTTAAGATCAATTTTGTTATATGTATATTTCTCCTCTTGTTTAGGTATTGTGTTTATACAGATCTTTAAAATGTAATGCATAATTAAATACAGATTGTATATAGTTACCTATAATAGCCAAACTTAACAGTTAGATTTGTTATGTTTTCTAGATATACAGAGATATATTTTAAACGGATATTCTTCAAACATTTCAAAGACATTCAGAATATGGCACTTAAAATGGTTTAGGGTTTTTCATGACAGTGAGACACAACTGCTCCTGGCACACCAATTATGTAATAAAGGAAGATGGGCATAGAAGAAACTCAATGTGGAGTTTGCTTTCAATATGGCAAGACTAGCCATTTGGGTAAGAACTGTTCTTGCCTGGACTGTTTGACTGTTGCTGTATAAACTGGACATGCAGGACCCACAGGAAAGTGACTGCTATACTTGTAAAACAACATGGACAGTCCTAAAGTGTTCCTGCTTCATGGAAGAGTCTGCCAGACATTCTACAGGACACATAGAAAAGTGACTGACAAACTGCCAATGCAGGTAGACAGTTTAAAATTTCCTGCTTCACAAAGAAGTCTTCCAGACACACTGTGGCCTATAGCCTGAAGATGGATACCCTGACATTACATTGGAACTTTGGGTGACTGTCCAGGTAGAGAGATGTCTCTGTCAGTTCTAGAGTTTATATATTATCCTCCTGTGGTCTTTGATGGAGTTGAAGACAGATACTTATAGTTTTCCTTAGTTAGGATAAAAGATAAGTTACATATAAGACTTTAGACTCACAAAGATAGGATAGATGATAAAGTATTTTCTTTAAATCTTACTAAACATTATTCAACTAAATATTGTAGCTATAGTTCTTACTTGATAACTGTTTTGTTATATATTTTACTATGTTAATGTTAAAACCCTTTTTTTCATTTAGACAGAAAAGAGGAGATGATGGGGGAAGTCCTTCTGTGTATATGTTTGTCTTATTGGTTGATGAATAAAGCACTGTTGGCCAATAGGGAAGCAAGATAAGTGGGACTAGAAGTCAAGGAGAATGCTGGGAAATGTAGTAAAGAGTGGAGAGTCGCCATGTGATCCAGGGAAGAGAGGACACATGAGGCAGGCATCCTCAGTAAGACACGTCCTTGTAAAAATATATACATTAATTAATGGGTTAATAATTAAGTCGGAGCTAGCCATTAAGAAACCATAGCCAAAGGCCAACAGCTTTATAATTAATATAGTGTCTCATGTGTTATTTGGGGTTTACTCAACACTGGGACCAGGCTGGTGGGAAGAGTTATTGTAACATGTATTATTATGTATTATATTATCTTGTAACAACTCTAACACTTCAGAGTCTGAATTTATTTTCCCAAATAATAACAAATAACTTGATTAAATTCTTAGACAATTTCTACTGAATATACTCACATCTGTTATCTTTTTGCTGTAGAGACTTATGCTCTTCAGTTTTCTTTTCCTGGCCAAGCTTAGGAGTCAAGATCACAGGCCTCCAAAAACCTAGAATCATATTAAACAGATTCAGTTATTTTCCAACTACTAATAAAATGGTATTATTTAAAAGAATGTTTACTACATAATTCCATATTAAAAATCTTATTTGATACTGTAACATCATTTTCAAATATACTTATTTGTAATGGTACTCTTATTCACAAATTTCATAAAGCTTACTAAAGCCATATAAAAAATAAAGTTTAAAATAATGTCACAAGTTGGAAACAAAGGCAATAGTACGTGGACTTTGGACATTTATTAAAACTGTAGAACCAACTCACTGCATCCTTGTAGAAATGTAGTGAAATGACTGTAGTGTGTGTGTGTCTTCTATCAAAAATATAAACCATCGAAGACAGGAAAAATGAAGTTTAAATAAATGTCATACACCATTTAGTCATAAAATGCTAGTCTCTTCTACCACAGTTCTAAGCAACCACTAAGATATCTTTTGCCTCTATAGATTTATACTTTAGGACACTTTAAATACACGGGAAGGTGCAACATGTGTTTCTTTTTTATTAGTTGTTTGTACTCAGAATAATGTCTTCCAGGTTTACCTATGACATACCAAAAAATGAACACTGCCTTTTTTGTATTGCTAAATAACATCATCCACTGTGCAGACATGCAACATTTCACTTATCCACTCATTATTTGCAGAGTATATGAGCAGTCTCCACATTTTAGCTATAATGAATAATGCTGCTACAAAGTTGCCTCTTGGGCAAAAATGGTGTTCTGTGATAGGATGGTAGTGATGTTTAAACTAGTTTGTGAATACCCTGCAAACTAATGTTTCACAAATTTTATGGATTTGTCTTATTTCTCCAAAGAAGTTATATTCCTGCTCTATGGGTTTTGTATTTATTGTTTCTCTTTCAGGAATACTTATCCTCAGATGTTACCAGTTTCCTTCAGGTCTATTCTCATTCACTTTCTCAATGTGCTTTTCTCTTGCCACATATATGGTATGCATTTAAATATCCAAAAGCAGATGTGTACACACACACACACACACACACACACACACACACACACACACACACACACTAACAACTTTATTGACTATTTTTCTTTCATTAAAGGACATGCTACCTCAAAGCAGAAAAAAATGGAGTTTAAAATGTTATGGCATGTACTTTATGCAACAACTAAAAATACAGTCAGATTTGAAAACTTTGTAGCAAGTTCATAAAAATAGAGTGACTAGCTGGCCAAAAAAGTCCTATCTACTTAGTGAACATAGTCACAGAATGAAAGTGACTTCATTTTGGGAGTGGGAGATACAGCCAACTCTTTTCCTTACATCTATTTACTGTTATAAAGAGAATGTGATAAAGGATGCCTTTGTTTTATTGCTCATTTGGAAATGAAGAGGAGGTGTACAGCACAAAGAGTAGGTTTTTATCTTTGTATAAGCATATCTTATTTATTAATAAAAAGGGAAAATCAGATATAACAAAACTGAGTAAATTTATCAGCAGACATTTTGTTAAAGAAGGCATATAAGAACACTTTCCTTATACTTAGGAATTTTAATTGTAGGTTTAAAATTATACTCAATTGTAGGTTTAAAATTATACTCAGAGTATCAGTTTATATTTTTAATATATAATATGTACAGATGAGTGAGGAATCCCAGATACTCCACCAAAAACTTTTTTAATTTTAAATATTTTATTTATTTTACATACCAAACACAGTTTCCCCCTTCTCCTCCCATTTCCCCACCTCATTTCTATCCCCTAATCCACTCCTCAGACATGATAAGGCCTTCCATGGGGAGTCAACAAAGCCTGACATATCAAGTTGAAACAGGACCAAGCTCCTCCTCCTGCATTAAGGCTGAGCATGGAATCCCACAATAGGGAATGGGCTCCAAAAAGTCAGCTCATGCTCCAGGGACAGATCCTGGTCCCACTTCTAGCGGCCCACAAACAGACCAAGCTACACAACTGTCACCCACATGCAGAGGGCCTAGATCAGTCCCATGCAGATTCCCTAGCTGTTGGTCTAGACTCCTGAGCTCCTAGGAGCTCAGATCAGCTGTTCCTGTGGGTTTCCCTGTCATGATCTTGACCCCTCAGGCACGTATGTTTTAATACTTGGTGTCCAGTTAGAAGAAATGTTTGAAAGGATTATGAGTTGTGGCCTTTTTGGAGTTAAGTTTGGCCTTTTTGGAGGATTGTGTTACTGTGGGTAGGTTTTCAGGTTTCAAAAGCCCATGGCAGGCTAGTTTCGCTCTCCCTCTCTACATGCAAACTTTGGATCAGATTTGAGTTTTCAGCTACCGATCAAGCAACATGTCTGCCTGCCTGAAGTCATGCTTCCCACCATGATAATGGATTAACTCCTGAAACTGTTAAGTAAATCCCCATTAAATGCTTCCTTTTATAATTTGCCTTGGTCGTGGTCTTTTATCCATAGCTACAGTAACCCTAACTAAGGTATACAATTATAAACTAAATTCACAGATATATCTGAGAAAATACTAGACTAGGAGTTTCTGTACTCTAGCTTGGTCAATAATTACCTATGTGGCCATTTAGGGAAGATGTCTACTTGGGCTTTAGTTCTCAACATTTATAGTATGCACTTATATACTATATCATTATTACTGTTTATTTTGTGTACACTCACTCGTGTGCTTGCACATAGCTAGGGGTGTACATATATGTGCAGGCAGACACACCTTTGTGTGTCCATGTGGGTGGAGGTCAGAGATCAACATCAGGCATCTTGCCTCAGAGTTTTTCATTTTTTTTTAAAAGTATGTCTCTCAATGGGAACTTGAGCTGTCTGATTAGCTGAGGCTGGCTGGCTGGCCGGACATTGAGTCCTAGGAATGATACCATTTCTGCCATCCCAGCACTGAGATTAAAAGCATGTACTAACAAATTCAATTTTTTTACAATTTTTTTCTAAATTAGAAAATCCAGGATAAAATGTTAAAATATATGTATCATAATAATGCTTGTAAACTAAGACAATATATTTAGGTAACACAAAGTTCAAAGTCTACAACAAATAACTTGAACTTCCTAATTTCATGGTTCTTAATGGGAAATACCTCTTAGAGTTGTCTAATAGTGCATCTTCATGGTCAGCAACATAAACACTAGAGCATTAGTTCACATCCTATTATTTATTGTGCTATTTTGGTTACTTATTTGTACATCCATTTGTAAAATAAAGATGATAATAGTAACCTACCTTCTAGTATTTGAAGGACTTAATACATTTATATATGTAAAATCTGTGAGCTTTAATAAACTAGGGCCACTGAATCAACATAAATTAGTACATGTAAAGTATTTATAGTAGTTCATAGCAATTTTATATAAAACATATATATTTGCTCTCAAGAGTCACTTAAATTGTCTAGGGCAGTGGTTTTTAACCTTCCTAAATCTTTTAATATAGTTCCTAATGTTGTGGTGACCCTCAACCACAAAATTATTTCTGTTATTACTTCATAAATGTAATTTTGTGATTGTTATAAACTGTAATGTAAATGCCTGATATGCGATATATCTGACATTCGATCCCTGTGAAAGTGTCATTTCCCCCCAAAGAGGTCATGACCCACAGTTCTGGGAGCTGGAGGATTATAATAATGTATATTATGATAAAATTAACACAAGTAACAGATAAACACAAACAATTCATTGAAAATTATGTAACTTGAGGAAAACCTTTATGAGAGAAGAAAGGTAAATGCTGATGTGTTTAGGCTTCTATGCTTATATCTCTTTACAATAACTAAACAGGAAAAATCTCCTTTTACTTATTCTAAAATGATAGAAGTTAAATTTACCATTGTGTTCTTAGGCCAGAATAGACACTGCTTTTATATGCATTTTTAACTTCCCTCCTTTTAAAATAGAAGAGATAAAACTTTACTTAAAGTAAGATGATATTCCCATTTTGAAAGTGAAATAAAAATCTGGTATGAAGATGTTTTATTTCTGAATTTTGTATAAGTTTTCTTAAGTGGTTTCAGTCCCAAATATATCAAAGTAACTGACATTTTGGGAAATGTTATGTTGCTATTAATAAAATTTGTAAGTTATTTTCAAAGACTACATACATTTTAGCTTACCTGGAGGACGATTCTCCTTTCTACGAGCACCAAGCCGGTGTGCTTCTTTTTGTGAATCATAGCGGTCAGTCTCCAAGAGATGTTCTCTTTCTTTAGCCACTTGAAACCCCTTATTGTCAAATCCCTTCTCTCTCTTTATGGGGTATCTTTTACTTTCAGGTTCATTTTGATCACTTTCATTTCCGGGTTTTTTCTGATATTTTTCAGAACTGGAGTCTACTTGATCTTTTTCAGTGATACTCTGAAATGTTTGAAGGTCACCCTGACATTTTCCAAAGCTATCTTGAGGTACTATAGACCTAAACTGGTATTTTCCAGAGCTATCCCAGTGTCCACTATGACCAGAATCTAACTGTTTTCTTTTAGCATCTAACCATTCCTGCAGAGACTCAGATTTATGAGCCACCTTGAGTCTTTCTAAGTTACAGGAACTTTTGCATATTTCAGCCTTCTTCATGTGCTTCGCAGAATCAGAGGACATCACAGGGCTTTCAGAATCTGAGTTCACTGTTCTTCTTTCAGACCAAGAATGCTTTGGGAGCTTGTTAATAGCAGTTTTTATATCCATGAAACATTTCACAGCGGCTGAGGCTAGCTCATGTCTTTCTGAATCTGAGTCTGTCTCACTTGTTGCAGATTCAGAGTCCTCCATATATCTCTTAGATCTTCGCTTTTCTGTTTTTTCTACTTGTATCAGATGTAGCTTAGACACTGATACTCTACCTTTTTCTGTGCCTGATTCCACTGCATAGCTCTCAGAATCAGGAATCGTCCAGAAATTTTCAGTCTCCATCACTGTTTTCTCAGATGCCATTAGACGTTTTATAGAATCTGAAGCCATTTGACGTTTTTCTCTTTTCTTCCTTTCATTATCAGAGTCAGAGTCTCTTTCAGAGTCAGAATCTTCCAGGAACTTTTCTGAGCCTGAGGGCACCCAATGTTTCAGAGATCTAGATTCCACCTGGCACTGTTCAATTCTCACCAGCTGTTGCCCTGTCTTACTCAAGTCTTCAACAGAGACTGACTCCATTTGATCATTTTCTGCTTTTAACAGGTGTTTTCTAGAGTCTGAATCCCTAAGAGACTTTTCTGAGTCAGAAGACTGTTCCAACTCAAAATCTGACACAACACCTCTATCAGAGTCAGAATTAATCATACACCTTTCAGAACCAGAGTCTATAAGAGGAGTATCACTTTCAATAATAGTTAAGTCTTGGAAAGTTTTATAGTAAAAAGAACCTCCCAAAATTTCAGATGCATTTGTATCAGAAATTTCTGTTTCAGATTTGCTTCCTTTGTCATGTTCCAGTGTAACTGCTCCTTCATCACTTGAAGAAAAACAAACATAAATACATGTTTAAATATTTACAACTTGATACTAAGACATTATCTCTGTTGAAATTATTCTGTAAGAAAATACTATGGAGCATATAGTCCTATTTGTTGACTTATAAAGCAAAAGACAATATTAAGGTTTTTTGCAAAAAAAATAAGGATTATTGTGTTAATTATACACTCTTCCCTGACATTAACTATTTGCATATTCCCATAATTAACTATTTTCCAATGAACTTAAAAGTATTTCCCCAAGTAGACTACTTCTTAATACGTCATTTTTTCACTATCTAGTCAATATATTAACATTTAGGGATCAAGTATCACATTTAAAGTGTACTACAAATTAAAAATAGGATATTTTTACATTTAAGTCTAGGTGAAAATTGTATATAGATAGATCTGATTATTAGTGAGAGTTACCTTGGAGTGTCAACTCTTTGTGAAGATGAATAACTCTCAGATACTCCTTGATATGGAAAGGATGTATATTGAATGGAAGGTCCAGATGATAAGACTGTTGTAGTTATTGGCTGAAAAAAATAAATCACAAAGTTATAGCTTTTTCAGTTAAAAACAAAACACAACACACTAAAGCATTTACACTGGAAAGAATATCATCCTGATTAGCTACAAACTTGTGCTTAATAGGCTTTGTATGACCTTCTTGAGTAAAACCTCAGAATTAGTATTTAAAAATAGACATGGTAGACACATTATGGGATGTTTTGTTCATTATCTATGTTCATATAAACTAATTTCCACTCCTAAATACTAGAACAGTCCTATGCAACCCAGTCTTTGGACTGCATGTAACTAGCATTTGATTCAAAATAGAGTAAGCCTATCCTATTTGATAGAGATGTAGAGTTAGTATTCAGGAAAAATTTTTCCCTGCAGGTTGTGTGAAAATGAGGGTATGCAATCTTATTCTCTGTGCTAATTCTGTCATATGCTTAGAGAAGTATAACAACCTTTAGAGAAGAATAGAACAGAGCCATACATAGAGGAAGTAGATATAAGTGATCATATGCTTCTTTAAAAAGAGAGAAGGAAATATTTTCTATCAAGTTCTTGATATTTTTTCAGTTCCTTATTTAAGTTTCTCCTTAGCATTAACTCTATTTCCTGTCCCTGAATACTTTTAAAGTGATAAAAGATTACTAAATTAATTCCACCCCCATTTGTCCGTTTGTTTTCATTCTTCAAATGTAAGTAACACATTGTTCCTTTCACTCATAATGACTTTTTCTAAGAGAGCAGAATTGCAGCCAATATTTTACTGAAAATCTCTAAGTAGAAAATGCATATAACAAATGTGACTTTTACACACATGGAAAATACAATCACAGAAAGAAAGTTGAAGGATAGCCAAAATTAATTTGATTCAAGTGAGGAGACTTCTTTCTTTTATGTAAATTGAAAAGGACATAATAATATACATATACTATAACGTGTCATATATGTATGATATAAAAAAATTTCCATGATATCTCTTATATTTCAGAATTGATACAAAGGTTTTAAATATAAATACTTAGAAGATAACTGAAAGGCTTAAACAAGATACTTAGAAATTTTTGGAAATATAAATAATTATAAAATATACATGTTTAAAAATTAAAGATAACATTTACTTGCAAGGTAAATAAACAAGAAAAATATTTAAAATTTCCACATGACAGGAGAAGTGGATAGCAAATGGCATTTATATTCTTCTAAACATCTATCTAAAAGTGAAAAAACTCAGAACTTCTCTGACTCCTAAAAAAAGTGACACATTTTAAGTGGCATTTTCCTTTAAGTACCTTGACTCCATCACTCTATACTATTACATTTTCAATTTTTTCCAATTAGACCCCATTTACTTACTTTTTATATGTGTATGTGTATATTTTTTCATGAAGAAAACATAATGTTTGTGTGAATCTGCATTATTTCACTTAATATGATTTTTTCCATCAATTTTACTACAAATGACACAGTTTCATTGCTCTTTGTGCATGAATGAAACTCCATTGTATATCTATACATTGTCTTTTTTCATTTGATGATGAACACCTAGGCTGATCCTATAATTTATATATTGGGAATAGTGCTATAATAAGCATGGTTGTTCAAGCCACTTTGAAAATAAGTATGATGTTCCTCAGGAAAATGGGAATCAGTCTACCACAAGATCCAGCAATTTCACTCTTAGGCATATACCCAAAAGAAGCACATTCATACAATAAGGACATCTGTTCAACTATGTTCATAGCTGCTTTATTGGTAACAGCCAGAACCTACTATCTGGATACCCCTCAACTGAAGAATGGATATAGAAAATGTGGTACATTTACACAATAGATTAATACTCAGTGGAAAACAACAACAGAATCTTGAAATTCGCATGCAAATGGATGGAACAAGAAGAAACCATGGATATAGAAAATGTGGTACATTTACACAATAGATTAATACTCAGTGGAAAACAACAACAGAATCTTGAAATTCGCATGCAAATGGATGGAACAAGAAGAAACCATCCTGAGTTAGGTAACCCAGTCACAAAAAGAAAAACATGGTACGTACTCCTCATATATGGATTTTAGACATAGAGCAAAGGATTACCAGCCTACAATCCAAGCCACATAGAAGCTAGGAAACAAGGAGGACCCTAAGAGAGACCTAAACATGGTCCCCTGGAGAATGGGAAAGGGACAAGATCTCCTGAACTAATTGGGAGCATGGGGGAGGGGAAAAGGAGCTAGGAGAAAGAGAAGGGGAGAAGAGGAGGGGAGGAGGACATGAGGGAGCAGGAATATTGAGTCAGGGGAAGAATAGAAGAGGGCAAGAAAAGAGATACCATAATAGAGGGAGCCATTATAGGTTTAAAGAGAAATCAGACACTAGGGAAATGTCCAGAGATCTACAAGCATGACCCCAACTAAGAATCTATGCAATAGTGGAGCGACTACCTTAAATGTCCTTTTCCAATAATGAGATTGATGACTATCTTATATGCCATCATAGAGCCTTCATCCAGCAGCTGATGGAAGTAGAAGCAGACACCCACAGCTAAAAACTGAACTGAATTCCTGGAATCCAGTTGCTGAGTGGGAGGAGTGGTGAGCAAAGGGGTCAATACAAGGCTAGTGAAACCCACAGAAACAGCTGACCTGAACAAGGGGGAGCTCATGGTCCCCAGACTGATAGCTGGGAAACCAGCATAGTACTGATCCAGACCCCATGAATGTGGGTATTAGTGATGAGGCCTCAGAAATCTATGGGGCCTCTTGTAGTAGGATCAGTACTTATCCCTAGCATAGGAATGGACTTTGGAATTCCATTTCACATAGAGGGATACGCCCTCAGCCTAGACATATGGGGGGAGGGCCTAGGTCTTTTCCCAAAGGGTATGACAGACTTTGAAGACCCCCCCCATGGAAGGCCTCACTCTCCCTGGGGAGCAGAAATGGTATTGGATAGGTGGGGTGTTAGTGGGGGGCAGGGGAGGGAAGGTAGAGGGAAAGGGGATTGACATGTAAAACAATCTTGTTTTTAATTAAAAAAAAAGAAAATAAGAAAACTAAAACAGGAAACTTTCCTGCAATCTGTTTCTGAATCATGAAACACTCATTTTGATATCATTAAATACCATTTAATAAGTTCTTTCAACTTTTATTAGAGGATTAAGAGTTGAGAGATATGAAAATAGGAAGAATTAAACATTTCAATTTTGTATCAAAATAAAACTTTACTATTGTTTATCTTAAATTTTAAAATACAGTGCATACTGAGGAAGCAGAGACAGCACAAGAGCTTGATTTACACAATTTCTAGGAAAGTTAGTAACAGTTAGTAAAACCCCGACTCAAAAAAAGTACTGACAAATATAGCTCTACATTATACCACTTATTAAAATTAATTCCTACTTTCATAGTTTTGTTTTTATTTATATGGTTTTATGTAAAACATACAGATGTCATTAAAGGTATCCAATGATTCTGTCAAGGTAGCAAACTGAAATATTGTCAGCCAACCATTAAATATGCACACATTTTTTCACAGGATACCTCCATAAGTAATTAAACAAATTCTCAAGGGGAAATATGCTTCAATGTATTCAACCTTAATTGTTAAAGCTGAATGACTGGAAAGTGGCTGAAGAAAATCTCAATTGAATCTAGATAGCTAGTAGTTTGCTGTAAGAAAGGCTGTATCTCACATCTGCTTTCTCTGACCTAACTCTTGCTTATTTTTGTTTTAAAATCTTTTCTCAGCAATCACAATCCAAATGACATTTCTAAAATGCAACTCTGACCTTTCCTTGCATTTTATACTGTAACATTCGAAATTATTTATAGAAAATAATATGGCTAGTGAGTAACCTTCAAAATAATTGTGCTTAGTATGGTCAAGGAACTCTCTTGGGTTTATAAAGGAAAAACTAAGTTCCTTCTTTGGATGAAGGTGTATTCTGATAGCAAAGCTATC